TCTTAAATATTTCAAAATATTTTCTAAAAATATTTCAAAATATACTATAAAAACTCTGCTACAGTAAAATTTTTCAAAAACACCTCTAAAAACAGCTAATCCAAACCCACGCAATAGAATCAGGGAAAGCAAGATTCTTACGTGCCATGTTAGCAAGTGCAGAAATTTTACCAAAAATAGCAAAAAAAAAAAAAAAGGGACGAAATCATCATGGGGGCAACTCTGGTTTATGATGGATGGCCAGCAAGTTCTTCCCTGTGAAACTCAGCAACTAGAATTGCTGCAGTAACGTCCACTCAAGTTTGTTCGAGAGTCATGACGAATGGTCCAGTAAGCGATGTGCGATCAAAATAGTATGGACCTTGGAAGAGACTGTCGTTGGGCCGTCTCCCTGCCTCCCCACATCACGTACATGAAGCACGTTTGTAAACATACTGAGGTAGACAATAATGAACTTAAGACTGCTTTAGAGGTAATTAACATCCCGAGTTGCCATAAGCTACATTTGCCAAACCATAGATTCTTCTGTGCTGTCCTAGCTCGCAAAGAAATTTTTTTTTTTTTTTTCCATTATAGTAATAAAGAACCTCAAGAGCCAAAACTTGTTAGAATGTAGGCAAGCACAGCGACCCTTCTGGTAAGTTTTATATATATATGATGTCTAAGTATTTCATCAAGATATTGAATTCTATTGTATGGTAAAAACCAGTAACCTTTGTGCGTGTGAGTGTGTGTTTTATTTTTCCTTTTCTGATGTCAAAACAATAATAGTAAGGGCAAAAAAACCTTAGTGGCCACTAAATTATTGGATTAGATCATGTTTTGGCCATTAAACTATTTTTCGTCAGTAATTGGCCACTAAACAACTTAATCAGTAAATCCGTGACCATTTAGTCGATAATTGCTCTTAATATGTGAAATTAGCTATACACGTAGCAAAGTGCGGGGTAATTTTGTCCAATAATTACGCGATCCTATTTCACAGATTAACTGCTAATTTTACAGATTAATAACAATTATCGACTAAATGGTCATGAGTTCAGTGATTAAATTGTTTAGTGGCCAACTGCTGACGAAAAATAGTTTGATGGCCAAAACATGATCCGACCAATAATTTAGTGGCCACTGAGGTTTTTTACCCTAATAATAACGAGACAAAGTGACAGCATTTTACGCAGAATCCACCTTTAGAGATATAGCATCCATATACAACGGCTTGCGGATGGAATTACATGCCATTCTAAACCTACACAGTGCAATAAATGAACAAAAATATATTAGTTGCTCACAAAAATCCCATATGGTCGTCAAGTCACTTTAAAGGTTGTCGTATAAATTCAACATTAGGCAGAAATGACGGGTGGTGGAGAGTTTTAAATCAACGATCACTTTCATGCCCTCATCTTTTCAGCTGGAAGAATCAACAACAGCTTGTGGAAATCTTTAAAACAACTAGTATCCAACGAATCCGGCTACTGTTTGATTGAGAAGTCGAGCCTGTTACGGGAGAGGAGATATGAACAGCACTTGTTTAACTTCAAGTGCAATTTATTTGGGAGGGGCAGACACAGAGATTGAATTACAGTTGACTTAATTCCTACAGAAAACCTTTCCTACGTAATGATTACCCTGAAGGTGGGCAAATGACAATAATGAATCAGCTGCTTCTACGGAATAGTTGCTTTGCTTCTTTTTCTTTTATTAGGAGAAGAAGATCGGAGGAGGCCAAGATGTCACCCTTGCAACTCACTATAACTCCGTCACTGAATCACTTTTTAGTATTGTCCACCAAAAAATAGAGTCTAGTAGTGATAAACCGTACAACAATACATGGCATGGCTTTAGCTTCACTCCTACTCAAAAACCAATAGAATAGTCCACAAAAGCTTATCACTCATTCTAACTGTCGGATTCATCATTCTGTTGCAATTTCACTAGACCTCCAAACTTCGCTTTAGTTTGTGCCCTCTATTTCTTTGTTAAACTTCTCATCTTCCAGAGGATTTCCATCAGCATGGGAACGATGAAAGCCCCTAGAGGAAAGATACCATTATCCATAATTGCCGTATTATTCTGCGTTTTTGCCTTCATGGCTCTTCTGTACACTGAAAGACTGAGTTTTCTTTCTTCCGGATCTATTTTCAAGTTTAGGCCCTGTGCAGCCAGGTATAAAATGTCCAAAACAGGTATTGGTTCGCATGCCATTTTTCTTGAATATTCTTTTCCATTTGTCCCCAGTGGCATTCCAATTAATGGCCTATTCTCTTGACAGATAATAAAAGGTCAGTGAACAAACAAATTGATTATGCAGCAGACGACCGGTTCGAATTTGATCCAGAGGAATGCGACATTGGTCATGGGAAATGGGTGTTTAACCGCTCGATTAAGCCGTTGTATTCGGACAGGACATGTCCCTATGTTGACAGGCAAGTTTCCTGCGTGAAGAATGGTAGAAACGACTCGGATTACCGGCACTGGCAATGGCGGCCAGATGACTGCATGTTACCAAGGTTAGCAACTCGCTTCCGAATCCTAATTCTAAATCGGATGATTCAGTAAATATGAAGGAATTTGCTTAATTTTCTTTGTGATGCCTTGAAGCTCAGGTTCAATCCAGATATTGCCCTAAAAAAACTTCAAGGAAAGAGGCTGATGTTTGTTGGGGATTCACTGCAGAGAGGGCAATGGCAGTCTTTTGTTTGCCTCGTTGAACACATAATTCCTAAAAGCCAGAAGTCCATGAAGCGAGGCCGTGTTCATTCAGTTTTTAGAGCTAAGGTATTTTACTCTTTCTAAGTTATGTTGATTTCCTTCTGATAACTCTGAAGTGCATATTTGTTTCAGATTCATGAATTGATCACAAATTTTTTTTCCTACATTCTTCAGGAGTACAACGCCACAATTGAGTTTTATTGGGCTCCATTTCTAGTTGAGTCGAACTCAGACGAACGCATAGTAGGAGATCCAAAGAAAAGAATTCTAAGAGTTGATTCCATTGCGAAACATGCCAAACACTGGGTAGATGTAGACATTCTTGTTTTCAATACTTACGTCTGGTGGATGAGCGGTCTCAAGATCAAGTCTCTGTAAGCTTTCTTTGCATAACTGAGCTAACCGTGACCTAAATACTAGAACGCACCATTTACCTGCTGGTCCATAACTCCATATATCAACGTCTGGTGAAGCACAGATGGGGTTCATTTGCCAATGGGGAGGAAGGTTCTGAAGAGCTGGAGGCACCTGTTTCGTACAGAATAGGATTGAAGACATGGGCGAACTGGGTTGATTCCACAATCGATCCTAATACAACTCGAGTGTTCTTTACTACAATGTCTCCCACGCATCAGAGGTTTGTAAACATTTCTTATTAAAAATTTCTTTAGCTGGATGGAGACTCTGTTTTCCTTTTCTTCATGATGGCCAATAGTTTTTTTCATCAAACCCATGTTTGAATTGAAATATATAAATACTGATGCGAGTTTGTGTTCAATAAACATTGTCAGGAGTGAAGACTGGGGCAACAAGAATGGGATCAAGTGCTTCAACGAGACAAAACCCATCTTGAACAAATGGCACTGGGGAAGTGGTTCTGATAGAAGGATGATGAATGTGGTGGCCAGTGTAGTTGAAAAGATGAAAGTGCCTGTCACATTCATTAACATAACACAACTATCCGAGTACAGGATTGACGCTCACTCATCAATTTACACAGAGTTACAAGGACAATTGTTGACGGACGAGCAAAAGGCTGACCCGTTACACAATGCGGATTGCATACACTGGTGTTTGCCGGGAGTTCCTGATACTTGGAATCAAATACTTTTTGCACTTCTGTAGCAAACAAAAATCGATACCAATTTAAATTGGCAGTACAGTCTAGGTGGTTGTAAACTTCCCCAAGGAAATTTCTTATGCTGTAAATGCAGCATAAGATTCAGTGTTGTTTGTACTTTGTATGGATGGGGTGTATAAAATCTCTTGCTCAAACCAGGACACCTGCGATTCTGTGTTGCTTGTATCTTTACCGCGTTCGCTAACATCTCTTCGTACAAACAAAATAGGCTGAAAACAAACCTCAACGACACAACGCGGACAGAGGTATGTTTAGAATTGGTTTGAAGATTAAAAAGAATGTTTGAACTTGGCTTGTGTTTGATAATTTTTTGAAAAAAATTGATTGAGTTTAGCTTGAAATTTTTAATGTATGTTTATCAAAAGTTTGGCTTAGCATGTCTTAGTATTGAGCTCAATCGCATACAATCAAAGTTTGGCTTGAAATTTCATGTTTTATTATATAGAAAATTTCACTCTAGTTTCTTACTTTTTTCCCCCTTAATTTTTGCTCTCTAATATTCAAGAAATCTATTACGATGAATTAGAGATGTCATTGTCAATTATGCCTATTCAAAAAATTTATTACTATGAATTATAGATGTAATTAAAATCAATTATTTCTATTCAAAAGATAAGAGTATTATATGCTTGCTATTTTATAAAATAGGCAATATGCGGAAAGGAAACAACTAGAGTTAAGGAAGGAAACTTTAAGAATATTTTTATGAAATTTACTTGTTTTATATGTTTCTGAATATATCAAGTCGGACAATGTGAAAATCGTGATTGATTTGCTAATATTTTTTAGTTTGAACTTATGTTCGGGTTTAGATTAATACCTAAACAAACAAACTTTAATGAGTCTGATTCGAGGTGAGTTCTAGTCGAGTATCAAACTACTTGGTTCAATTTACAGCTCTACAAACAAATAACTATTTATAGTGGCCAAAGTAATGAAACTGACAGTAAACTTGAGAAACTTTCACTAAATCCATCACTATAATATCCATTTTAGAAAAAAAAATATTGAAGTAAATTTGTAGAACAACTACAAATGGAAAACAATCTCAATTGAACCCCTTACACATGCTTTTTGGAAAGTGTGATATTAGCATCCCTAAAAAAATTTCAAGAACTTTGTCCCTTCTTTTGCTTTAGATGGGAGGATGGAGTGCTCTGATCTTTTTTGCAAGTGCTACAATTGGCTTTTGGGCTTTTGGCATAAACTAAAATGATGCTTTTGACAGGACATGTCCCTATGTTGACAGGCAAGTTTCCTGCGTGAAGAATGGTAGAAACGACTCGGATTACCGGCACTGGCAATGGCGGCCAGATGACTGCATGTTACCAAGGTTAGCAACTCGCTTCCGAATCCTAATTCTAAATCGGATGATTCAGTAAATATGAAGGAATTTGCTTAATTTTCTTTGTGATGCCTTGAAGCTCAGGTTCAATCCAGATATTGCCCTAAAAAAACTTCAAGGAAAGAGGCTGATGTTTGTTGGGGATTCACTGCAGAGAGGGCAATGGCAGTCTTTTGTTTGCCTCGTTGAACACATAATTCCTAAAAGCCAGAAGTCCATGAAGCGAGGCCGTGTTCATTCAGTTTTTAGAGCTAAGGTATTTTACTCTTTCTAAGTTATGTTGATTTCCTTCTGATAACTCTGAAGTGCATATTTGTTTCAGATTCATGAATTGATCACAAATTTTTTTTCCTACATTCTTCAGGAGTACAACGCCACAATTGAGTTTTATTGGGCTCCATTTCTAGTTGAGTCGAACTCAGACGAACGCATAGTAGGAGATCCAAAGAAAAGAATTCTAAGAGTTGATTCCATTGCGAAACATGCCAAACACTGGGTAGATGTAGACATTCTTGTTTTCAATACTTACGTCTGGTGGATGAGCGGTCTCAAGATCAAGTCTCTGTAAGCTTTCTTTGCATAACTGAGCTAACCGTGACCTAAATACTAGAACGCACCATTTACCTGCTGGTCCATAACTCCATATATCAACGTCTGGTGAAGCACAGATGGGGTTCATTTGCCAATGGGGAGGAAGGTTCTGAAGAGCTGGAGGCACCTGTTTCGTACAGAATAGGATTGAAGACATGGGCGAACTGGGTTGATTCCACAATCGATCCTAATACAACTCGAGTGTTCTTTACTACAATGTCTCCCACGCATCAGAGGTTTGTAAACATTTCTTATTAAAAATTTCTTTAGCTGGATGGAGACTCTGTTTTCCTTTTCTTCATGATGGCCAATAGTTTTTTTCATCAAACCCATGTTTGAATTGAAATATATAAATACTGATGCGAGTTTGTGTTCAATAAACATTGTCAGGAGTGAAGACTGGGGCAACAAGAATGGGATCAAGTGCTTCAACGAGACAAAACCCATCTTGAACAAATGGCACTGGGGAAGTGGTTCTGATAGAAGGATGATGAATGTGGTGGCCAGTGTAGTTGAAAAGATGAAAGTGCCTGTCACATTCATTAACATAACACAACTATCCGAGTACAGGATTGACGCTCACTCATCAATTTACACAGAGTTACAAGGACAATTGTTGACGGACGAGCAAAAGGCTGACCCGTTACACAATGCGGATTGCATACACTGGTGTTTGCCGGGAGTTCCTGATACTTGGAATCAAATACTTTTTGCACTTCTGTAGCAAACAAAAATCGATACCAATTTAAATTGGCAGTACAGTCTAGGTGGTTGTAAACTTCCCCAAGGAAATTTCTTATGCTGTAAATGCAGCATAAGATTCAGTGTTGTTTGTACTTTGTATGGATGGGGTGTATAAAATCTCTTGCTCAAACCAGGACACCTGCGATTCTGTGTTGCTTGTATCTTTACCGCGTTCGCTAACATCTCTTCGTACAAACAAAATAGGCTGAAAACAAACCTCAACGACACAACGCGGACAGAGGTATGTTTAGAATTGGTTTGAAGATTAAAAAGAATGTTTGAACTTGGCTTGTGTTTGATAATTTTTTGAAAAAAATTGATTGAGTTTAGCTTGAAATTTTTAATGTATGTTTATCAAAAGTTTGGCTTAGCATGTCTTAGTATTGAGCTCAATCGCATACAATCAAAGTTTGGCTTGAAATTTCATGTTTTATTATATAGAAAATTTCACTCTAGTTTCTTACTTTTTTCCCCCTTAATTTTTGCTCTCTAATATTCAAGAAATCTATTACGATGAATTAGAGATGTCATTGTCAATTATGCCTATTCAAAAAATTTATTACTATGAATTATAGATGTAATTAAAATCAATTATTTCTATTCAAAAGATAAGAGTATTATATGCTTGCTATTTTATAAAATAGGCAATATGCGGAAAGGAAACAACTAGAGTTAAGGAAGGAAACTTTAAGAATATTTTTATGAAATTTACTTGTTTTATATGTTTCTGAATATATCAAGTCGGACAATGTGAAAATCGTGATTGATTTGCTAATATTTTTGAGTTTGAACTTATGTTCGGGTTTAGATTAATACCTAAACAAACAAACTTTAATGAGTCTGATTCGAGGTGAGTTCTAGTCGAGTATCAAACTACTTGGTTCAATTTACAGCTCTACAAACAAATAACTATTTATAGTGGCCAAAGTAATGAAACTGACAGTAAACTTGAGAAACTTTCACTAAATCCATCACTATAATATCCATTTTAGAAAAAAAAATATTGAAGTAAATTTGTAGAACAACTACAAATGGAAAACAATCTCAATTGAACCCCTTACACATGCTTTTTGGAAAGTGTGATATTAGCATCCCTAAAAAAATTTCAAGAACTTTGTCCCTTCTTTTGCTTTAGATGGGAGGATGGAGTGCTCTGATCTTTTTTGCAAGTGCTACAATTGGCTTTTGGGCTTTTGGCATAAACTAAAATGATGCTTTTAGAGCAACTTTTATGTTTCAAAAATACAAAATTAGCTTTCATAATTTTGTTAAATATTTTAAACTAAATAAAGAGACAAATTTGTTTTAAAATTCAATATTGCATATATCAGATAGAAAAATACTTATGCAATTATGCACCTAAACAATATAATTAAGAACTTAATAAGTACTTTGACCAGAAGGTCTACTAGTTGAGGCACTTTTTCATAAACCATCACAACCCAAAATGGCCATTAAGTTTCAAATGCTACCTAAATGCAAGGAATGATGTTAACCAAATACATTAAAAATGTTTTTCCATGAAATGCACCATAAAGGGTTATGGTGTTTTTGCTAGAAAAGTGCTTTTGGAGGATAAAAGTTAATGTGTGTGGTAAGCGTAATTCCTTGAATTTAGGAATGAAATTTTTTAACATTAAAGCACTGTCAACACAAGTTAAAATTAGTGTTTTAGGACAACTTTTGTATTTTAAAAAAAAAATTTTCAATTTTTTATTAAATTGAACATTTTTTATTTTATTAAAAAGAATCCTTTAACAATTTTATTACAAATTTGGAACTAAATGAAGAGATAAAATATTTTAAAAATTCAAAGTTACCCATTATCAAATAAAAAATTACTTATGTAAGTATGAAGCCCAATAATATATGCATCCAAATAATAAATGCGAGCTAGCATTTCATAAGTATTTTGACTAAAAACTCTGCTAATTTAAGTGCATTTTGATAAGCCACTTTAACTTCAAACTAGAGGTGTCAAAATAGGTGACTTAGGTAGGTTTGGATTAGTTAAAATAAGTAATGAGTATAAGTAAGTCAACCCATTTATACTCATTTAATTAGATGGGTATAAATAAGTCAAAAAATGAATTAGACAACCCAATTACCCATTTATAATTTAACTTTTTTGTAAACTCAGCGAAATTAATTTTTGCAAACTAAGTTATCAATTTATACCGCCCTTTACACCCATCATTAGTTTTAAATATTTACTTATAATGTTCAATAAGCCTAATAATCAATTTTTTCCATCTGTACTCTATGTCGTAAAATTACATACTATTTAATAATTGAACAATGAGAATATAAAAATTTGAACTAAGTACTATAAAAGTTAACATAAAACTTAATCTAAAAAATTTGAATCCCTAGCATTTTTTTCACGTGTAAATTTAAAATTTTATTTTGAAAAGATAGGAAAAAAGGCGAAAACTTATCATAAATTGATAATGTTGAAAATGAGCAAGTTAACAAACTAAGAAAAATAAAATGATAAGATAAAACTAATAAATAATAATAATAATGAAACAAATGTAGTTAACATCATGACAAAATGAAAAATCAAAAAAAAAAAAAAAGATGGGAGAAGAAAGGAGATTTGGGGGAAAACAATTCTAAATTAGTTAATTGGGTTTGATGAATTGCCCAATAATACTCATTTATTAAATGGGTATTATTGGGTAACTCATTTATACCTATATGCAAAAAATCAAGATATAGATGAGTTTGTTAGCCACCTATACTCCAAACTCCAAAGTCCATACAGAGACCCTTAGTGAATTTGCAGATAAAATGCACCTTAAAGGGAATAATTTATTACTAACACTTTTGAGGGTTACTATTCCTTCTGATTGCTTTACGTGTGGAGGAAGGTCTTGAAGCTTAGAGGATTGGCACAACCAAACATTCTATTGTATTCTGCGCAATGCTACTGAGGAAATTATAGATTTTTGAATGTCCGGTGACTGCAATCGTATGGCAAAAATTTCAAGCATTACGTGAAGAGTACACTACAGGGGTGCTAACCCATGATCTATCTATCTATTGAGTCCAGCACTGGCATTTCAAGTCGTTTGTTGGCTATTAGTACAATCTATCCAGTTTTGAAAGCCAGAAATAAGGCTATTTTCAAGAATGTTCCTGCTCCTGCTGCTGCTGATAGAATCCTTGCAACCATTGTTGACACTGTTAGGCTTGTTGGAGCCTGATGGAGGAAGGTTCCACTTGTAAAAGCGATTTGAGATTCCGTTGTAGAGTGAGACATAGCCCTGGGGTGTTTTGACAGTTGATGAATGCCTTTTGTAGATGGTTAGATACCATACAATAGTTACTGATGCGACTGAGCAATCTTGCTCCTTGTACAGGCTTATCGTTTTATCTTTGAAAAGCTCATCTTTTGCTAAAATTATTTTTTCTTGGTCAAAATGAGGCCAAAAAGCCTGCCTCGTACGCTATACCGTATCATGCTAGAGCTTTCTCTATTCTATTGCCCGCCTATATAGGCACCATAACAATAACATTTATCATCCATTCATTTTTTTTTTCTTTTCTTTTCAAGCCTTTGCAAGTAGAAAGAGAAGAGCTCGAGGAGGGAATGCATCCCTATTTGGGTCTTTATGACAAATTTAACGGTGGCAAAAACCTGGGTAGATGTAGTCTCGTAAACCGTGTGATTCAAATTTTGTCGCACCATTAATTTTTTGAGTCCGCGTGATGATATGACACAATTTGAATAGCAGAATCTATTAGTGTGTTTGGATTGTAAGTTATTTGAAATATTTTTACTGTAGCACTTTTTGTGATATGATGTATGTGAGATAAAAAGGTAATTGGGAAGATAAAAAGATGTATTAGAAATTGTAATGGTGATGTCAGCAAATATATTTGGCCAAATAATTGGCTGTCCAAACACACTCTATATAAACCGAGGGTTTACCCAAGTATTTGCCATTCCTGATAACTCTACGTTTCCGAGTCTGAATTTTACATTCAAAAGTTAATGGGTGTTGGCCTCTTATTTCGTGCTCTAATCAACAACAAGATCCATATTTAAGACCTGCTATCACGAATGGGCTCTCTGGGCTCCATTGGGAATCCCAATCCAAAACTCGAAATTGTGCCCATTACTGGTAGAAGCCCATTATAGTTAATATGCCCAGAGACCCGAATTTCCAGGGAACCCACCCAACTTTTAGAGTTTCAGGAAACCCGCCTCTTGTTGGCATCAATCCGGCTCCAGCCTCCAAATACAGGAGGTTGTCGCGATTTCTGACTCTAAAAACCCTAGTTTCCGACTTCGGCCATCGCATCTCAGGTTGAAGCCCTCTCTCTTCATTTTCGTTTTGCTAATTCCATGACCTCAAACTCTTAGCTTTCTCGAATATTATCTAATTGTCCAATAATTAACATGTTTTTGACTTGATCAGTCTCCGAGAAGAATCGATAATGGCTGGAGGAGGAAATTTCATCCATCGAGTCATGTCTTACGTCGCCAACGAGCTCATCGTGAATGGCCTCGCGAACAGGTTGTCATTATTTACAGACTCTGTTTTCCTGAATATTTTGGCGTCTCTGGAAGCATTTTTCTACTCTTATCCATGTATCTCATTAGTAGTTTCTACTAAATTGATGCGGCTTCCGTTTTGAGCTATATGGTCTGAATTTTATTTTAGTGAAAATGATAATCCTTTTCCTTTAATGCTCGCATGCCGATGATGACTTCGTAGGCTTGTAATGATTTGCGGAAATGATCGCAATTGTTCTTTTCAAACTTTAGTGCTCTGAGGCTGCTTAGTTTTTTTTTTTGAACTTGTTAGACGGTCATACAATCTGAAGCATATATGTTTTACAAGATTTTAATGAATCTGGTTCATGTACTTGTTCTTTTATATTTTAATTGGACTTGTTTTTTCGAGCTTGTTGTAAATTGGCATTTGTATTGTGAATACTTTTGGTGGCTCTAATTGCCTCGGAGTTTGGTGTCTTCTTCCTTTTCTTTTTTTTTTGGCCCCGCGGCCCGGGGGGGGGGGGTGGTGTTGGGGGCAGTGATTCATATTATTTGGTTAAAGATATCTTATTTTGCTATCAAGTATGATTTTTTTTTGGTTACTTTGAAACTTGAAGCATACACAAATTATTGGCTTGATGGTATGTTGCTTTCAACAACTTATTGTTTTTTGGTAGGGATAACTGTAGTCGTTGGTCATATTTTTGGTTAAATACATTCAGGGATTAGCACTGAACTTCTGGGTACTTTCTTTTGTTGTGAGATTTGGACTCTAGTTGCTTGTGTACATTAAATTTCTATATCCTTGTGGACTGTTTTTGCTTGGACGATGTGAAGTATTATCCTGATCTGTTCTGATGTTTCCTACTAATTCTTATGATCTGTTTCAGTCCTGCTTTCCAAAGATTTGCAGTTAGGACATCGAAGAGGATAGAGAACGTTTCTGTCAAAGGCATGCGCTCGTATCCCATGCTGCTGATCAATTCTTTTGGTTTTTGGTTCTTTGAGTGCAGCAGCACTCTTCTTCTTCTTCTTCTTCTTCTTTTATTAAATTGGGCTAACGTTTTCTTCTTGACGAAATAATGTTGGATGCAGCTGCAGAGGTGAAGAAAAAAGTTTCGGAGCAGGTGGCCAAAAATATCGAGGTTGGATGCTCAGATCAATGCTGAGTTTTGTATGCTTGGATAAGTAGATGTACACGATTTGTTGATTTCGTTCGTATCTTTTTGCAGTCCTTCAAGAATGAGTGAGGAGATGGTGGAGTCAAGTATCAGATGCAAACAGCTGGTGTACATGGTAGTGTTTAGTGCTTGGATTTCCTTCTAACGGTGAAGAGGAAGGCTAAGCTATTAAAGAAAGATGTTTGACGATGATGATGTATTAAACTTCACATTTTAAATAATATTACGGTTTTCTTCCAGCTTGTTGCTTGATTTGTATGTGGCTGGTTAATGGTACTTCTGTTCAGCCAAGCATTCCCTACTTTGTTGGATGAATGAGCCATTTGCTGATGTACATGATGTTGATTGATTACTTTAGTCTCTCTCCATTTATTCATGTTCTGCTATAGTATTTGTTGTATGTTCCAAGCGATGGCAGGTCAGATACTGGCCGTGAATCTCATCTCCTTTATTATATTTGCACATAGTTACTCCTAAGCGGGAGGTGACAGCCTTACGGCCAAGTCCGATCCTGCCCCTGCAAAAGAAGTGCAATCTAAATATCTGAAGTTGCATGGTCCTACACGCCTTTGACATATCACGGCCTTAGCCTTTGTGGGGTGCGTGATATTTTGCTCTCTCGCCCGAGTTTATGGTGATTTTTTGTCACGCCTTCGAGGAGAAACCGCGGCGACTGCCTTTTATATTGCGTCCAACCGGGGTTTATTAGGAGGTACCCGGCTAAGACTAAGAGGCAGCCCACTGTTACACTTAAATCTTCCCGTTCATAACCTTGGCAACAAATGAGTCGCAACTCAAGAACTCATTATTGTGTTTTCAAATAAGATTCAACATTCAGTTGCCCTGGGTGACGGATCACATTATACAAAGTCAAATACAAGGTTACCTTGTACTATTCTCTATTACATGGAAATGTCCTGTTTGACTTTTGCTTTATTTCTTTTCTTTAATTTTTCTTGAGATGCATATACTACCGTTCTAAAGTTCTATTCCGCAGGTCCTTGGCTTTTTTGCACTTTTCCTGAGAAAATGAAAAAGAGCAGCAGACGTGCAGGTAACACATCATGATTTGTAGTTCCGTTGCAGCCCTTATCTGATATGGAATAAAAAGGAAAAAAGAACCTCTACAGAAATAACAAAAATAAACAGAGAGTGGAAAATTTCCTCAGTTCGAATGGATAAATTTTAGGGATACCTCCACATAGAATGTAAAAATTCCAGCTCGCAAAAGAAAGCCAGCCAAGCTTATTATGGGTCAATATGTTCAGCAAATATAGAATTTCCCAAATAAACCTGTTGCATCTCCTCTCTCCAAATCTGCAATATTGAACACGTAATTTGTCACCTTTATATTCTAACACCTGATCTGCCTTAAAAAAATAATAATAATAAGGCATCGCTAGGAGAAAGCCAAAATTTATTCAAATGACAATATGTAACTTCACGATAAAATTGCTTCATCTGATCCAACTTGGATTTTGGAAGCTAATCTTCAAACAGAGGACTCCATCATCAACCAAAGACCATTCCAAAAGGTAAAACTTCTGAAAAATGCATTAGGATCACGCGATAAGGAGAGATCGATTAGAATTTTAATCAGTTTCCTTCCTTCAAATCCACTGATTAGAAGGAAAAGAAAACCATATTTCCTAGTACTTCCTCTTTACCAAAGCTTTTCAAAACTGCTTGTTTATGAAATTTCAGACGGCCTGTACAACAATGAATTTGGTATAGACACACACACATATATATATATTTATATATATTATATATATAGCAAAGATATTGATTCTCTCATAATGTGAAGACATTATAACATAATTCAAAACAACTTCCATACCATATCACGAAATTCAAGGCGGATATGAGGTACGTTTGTCTTGTGAATATCATTCCCGTCTGGTCCTCTCTTGTAGTATTCCTTCCCGACCCAATGAGACTAAGAACAGATGTTCATAGTTCAGACATTACAACAGGAAAGATATATTTACAATTGTAATAAAGGATAGGCTTCAAAAAAGCAAACACAGGCAGATTAAAATATTTATTGTACTCTACGGAGTACCATAAAAGGGCCTGCAAATGGCCCCCATCCAAAATAGTAGAAATTAGACTTGCCAAATGAGAACGTACTTTCCCAGTAAATTAGTGATAACAAAGCAGCAATTGAATGGCATCAAGATTTAGGGTATACGTAGATAAGGCAAAAGAACTAAACAACTTGGACAAAAAGGGTTTGCTGCAGCATATTCCATCTGGCATGTCCACCCAAAAATAACAATAACGCAAACTATGAAACGCTGTGTTAAGCGTTACTCAAAAGAAATAAAATAGAAAATAAGTTTGGTGGAGGATTTAAATTATATTGCAAACACAAATTGTACAACTTCAACAGGACTAACTTACCTTCAGTGCATGAGAGAAACCAGATTGATAAACTGAATTCCGTGCAATTTCACATATATCACATGAACTTAACTTCCAAACCTGCACCAGATAGCAAACTTATTGGACAACCATAACAGTTCACAACTCAAATATTTTCTGACAAAAGACTTGAAGAACTCACAGAAGCTGCAATGCTGTATTCTTCCACGAGGGGCTCTTTTGTTAGGTGAATCTGCAAAGGATCATCAGTTGAAAGCGACACATTGAGGCCACGCAGGAAAAACATGGGAAATGGATTCCGATGGTAGTCCAAAAACAATGAGTTGTTGCTCAGTGGAGACATGGCAAGGCCAATCTGAAATCAAAGAAACCATCCCAATGCATTACAATGTGCACACTTTGGAAGCTAATCAATTTGACGTGTGTTGTTTTACCTGGGCCAGGTAGTACAAATACTGAAGTACAGGAGATTTTCTCAAGTTGATTCCATGCGCAATATTGTGAGCAGTAAGAAATGTCGCTGCAAGGTGGTCAACATCACCAGCCTAACAAACTGAAACCATCAATAACACAATCAATCTAACTTCAGATCACACAGAATGAACATTTATGTATTACCTCTCCAGAATGTGGACGGAGTTTGATAGTGGTCATTCCTTTTGACTCGCGAAGCTGAAATGTTATGCAATTAATTCTCACAAAACAATGCCAGCAAACAGATTAACCATATAATCATATACACTGGTGAAAACACCACCATCTTTAGGAGAAGGAATCCTTAAACCTTCCTCTTCTGCAACGCCAAAACACCTCCCCCCTTCCCCCCCGGGCCACAAAAAAAAGGGAAAAAATGCAAAACTGTTACAGAAAAACAGTGGAAAGCAGAAAAGGCCCTGGAAAATAATGTTAGGAGGATTTTTGCTATTGCATCTTACAAGCAACAACTTAATCATAGTAACAATTTAAGAAAATACAATTTATATTACAGTAATCCTATCTCAAGTTTCCATTCCTGGTATTAGCTCCATGACAGAAGTGAAAAACAATAGTCTAACAGAAAAAAAAATTAGCAAAAACACCAAAAAGCTATTGCCTGTATTGTAAGGCAGAAAAAAAAAAGACTAGGAAAAAATCAGGAAAAAGACCAAAAAGCTATCGCCCAAAACTTAAAGGCCTCTTACAGTTGATAGCGATGTAAAGTAGTGCTGTAATGATAATATTGAAATGTGGTAAGCCCATTATCCCCAACCCCAACCTTTATACCATCCATCAACCCCACGGTGCACTGCCTAACACCACAACCCGTCCCCCCTTCCCAAAAAAACAAAAAAGGGAAAAAACAAAGGAGAAGCAAATCACACAATTGGCAAATTACTTCACTTTTCTCAATTTCAGGAGAGTGCATAAACAGATACAACTTCTTTACCTTATTTAAGGTGTATAAGTTAGCATAACAATAGTAAATGTAGTATGAGTATGCAGGATTGAATATGTTGGTCCACTGAGCAGGTGTCGGCATGTGTTTCGTAGGACGTCTTTCTGGCTTACTTTCATCATCCACCAAATCAAATCCAACCACCTGAATATCCAGGAACAGGATTTAGTTAAACCATCTTAGACATTATACAAAGACTAATGTTAACTAAAAAACATGAATTTATAACACCCACATCTGGCAATGGTGAATAGCTCATCATTTATTCACTTATAACTATCTCCTAGACACTACCACAGGGTTTTAACCCTATCATCTTTTTACATGCTACCAAAAGCCACCTCCTGTCTGCCTTCAAACATTGTCATATGGAACAGAAAAAGGAATATTGAGGGAACATGAAAAGGAACCCAGCTTTCAGGGAGATTAACCCGGAGTATTATCAGTATTCAATGAACATGGTTTATTACCCAATAAAGCAGAATAATGTTGATGTAGTAGTAGTCTGCATACCTGCTTCAAGAAAACATGCAACTGAGGATGTGAATCTGGATCCACAGTAACCTCAAACAAAGGAAGGAAAACATTATCAAGAATGTTCTGAAAAGATGTCACAATTCCCATTTCCTTGTAGACATTGTAGAGTCTTGGAAGCTGAAAAGAATTGAAATTCAATACGAAAATCACTATTCAGATAGCATTCAATATTCTGATTAAACAAGATGCTTAGGGAAAAAAAAGAGCTGAAACAAGAGATTTTATACCGCCTCAAACTTAGATACTTTTCTCCCTAATCATAATAGGCTTCAGACCTGACATTGTGTCCATTGGACAGCACTCAGAGACTCTGAACCTAGTTATACAACAGGAAACCAATCTCCTAGAATTTCCAAGTCTGACAGCATACATAATGCTCCCCAAAAGTTAACCATTATGTCTGACAATCAACAGCATTATCCATTTTGACAGCATCAGATGCATTGCAAGACTATACACAACTTCAAACTTTAAACCATAAGCATAAAGCAGGCCCCTATTATAAAATAGTAGTATAAGGCACCTACTGGTATTGATTCTTCTTTCCCCCTCATTATGATTGTTCTTAGAACCAATTACAGAAAAGTTAAACATCAAAATTAAACATGAAAGTTAAGTAACAAGTATTTGAATTATAGTCATAAGCCCTTCAATCAAGACAGCGGAAGAATTCAAGAAGAAAAGGCAAAACAGAGAAAAAGAACAATAGTAAGTGGCCATAGATGGGAGAATGATGTAAGACCAAATCTTGAAATTCCAGGGTTTTGTTCCCTCAAACAGAACCAATTTTGACAAATAATAAATAATTTTCTTATTAAAGCACATGACTAATTATAAGATGAGAACAGTGTTTTCCAATTAACATAGGAAAAGTAATCAGAACTATTTGGGCAATATACAACGATTTGCATAAACATAACACGGTATAGAGCATTTCTGAGAACCCAGGGGTACGTAAAAGCTTTCCTTAAGGACATTATTGCTGTCCAATTGTTTGAGAGAACAAGTTGAGCAGAAAGGAGAAGAAGGTTGTTGTAATCGACATTTAATAGTATCGACCTTCTAGAAAAGTACTGAGGTTCTTTCCACAAAGTTCTTGCCAAGGACATCAACACAAATACAGTTGGTTCTGTTGGATACCTGAATCAACCAGACAACATTCTCGCTATACAAGTCATTGTTTACTATCCAACTAGCCAGCTGGTCCCACTCACTCTGCTTTCTGCCATATATGGATACCCTGTATTCAGCCATCTGCACCAGAACCAAAGGAGAACCACTAATACTTAATCCAAACAAGAATAAGGAGTGAAGAAGTTTGAACTTTAACTGGCATAATCATGGAGTGTTGTACTGGACAGAAACCCAAATCATAGCATCAAAATGCTCATATAATTTTAAAAGGCAAAGAAGACTACAACAAAAACAACACCACCAGATTCATTTTGCAAGTGATGTACTTTAAAAATCTTCCAAGTTTTGACACAAAATTACCAAGATATTCCAACCTGCAGAAACTATACCCTAGAATCTAAATATCATTTGAAAAGTATATATAACGTGCTTGAAGAAAACAAGGAGACCAGACACCTTCCCTCATCAAAGCTAAAATTGTTGTGCAGAAGTCTTGTCATCTCAGCCAGAAAGTGAAGTCAAAGCAGACTTCAAGCAACAATCTTCACATATTTTTCAAGCGGTACAAGTATCTTAACCTTAAAGTTCTTGCTTAACAAGAATACCAAAGATGACATAAGTACTGGGAAGAATACTTAATTTAAGAAGAAAAAATGACATAAGTAAAGGCCCCCTCTGCCAAAGAAGAAAAGGAAAGGATACAAGATAAACAAATGGAAAAGCTTTCACAAAATGGACCGAAGAGAACAAAAATGGCCGCCAAGAAGTTTCGTTGTAAGTCAAGGTTGCTCAGTGTTTCAGAAAGCAAAAGGAAGAACTATTAAGGCATTGCTGATCTTCTGCACGGTGAAAAATAAAAATGAAAAAGCGGATGATAAATTTCATTACACACAAAGGACGCACTTGATATTTGCTTGCTTCAAGATCAGAAAAAACTTGCTTAGTCAGCTCACCAAGGAAACGACCTGCAAATTTGCAGATATAATAAATCTTAAACTCAATACATCTGATAAACAAATATAAAGCTTCCAAGTAAACAAAAATTGAAAAAAGAATCAAGGGGACAATCTGGCGCGAAGTGGAACTTGTGTAACAAGAAAGAAAATGATGAAGAAGAAACAGAAGAATAGGTGGCTTATCTTAAATCATATTGCAAAGGAAATGCATGGTGATGGAAAGCAAGTGGTATGACCTAGAATGTGGAAACTTCTTTTTCACTAAAATGAAGTTCTAGTTTTTCAGGTCTGAAGAGAAAATATGGCAATACCCTGTATAAGGTTTTCCTGCTTCAGAAAAATCTCCCTTAGCCTACTTTGACCACAAGGGTTGTACTTAAGATTAAACTTGTCAAATCGATGAAAGGTGCTCTTGTCAGCATGAACATCCAGTAGGTCAACATTCAGATCATACCTGTTTGGGAAAAAAAATTATCAGTGAAACAAAAAAGCGAAAAGCAGAAGTCAAAAAGCAACGAGTCAAGTCAAAAGAGTTGAACTGAGAGGTGAGCAATTCTTCAAAGCACAGAATTTAGGAGCCTCTCATACCCAGATAAATCCAAGCTCTCAAAAACTTCTTTCAATGTCAAATAGGTACCATCACGAAATATGACAACCTGAAGAAAAAGTATACCTATGTAAGATACTCAGAAAAATGGCACTATCTTGATGGATTTGTGAAAAGTTCTACAGATTTTATTCCATAAAAACTTTTGTTAGGGACACTTTTAATCCAGAAGAAGAGAAGTATATTTGATGCTTTGAAAATGGCAGACAGCTCAAGTAGAATGACCCAACACCTCGTCAGGCTCTTTCCTAAGCTTTGACTTTATAAACCTCAAAAGATGCTTCTGGTTCATGCAGGCTGAGTGGTGAACGTGGGTGTCGACTTTCCTGACATTATAGAAGTCACGGTGTGGGGCACTTTTTTGAGCAAGGAATTCCCGATCAGCATTAAGCATCAAATGGAGGTTGAATTTCTGGACAACATATAAGTCAGTATTTCGAAAAGCAAACAATTTTAGGTCACTAACAAAACTGAACACACTTCCTACAAACAACTATCAAAGGCATAGTATCTACTTGTTCTAAAAGTACTAGGCGATGGTGACATAATGTCCGAATATTCCCCGCAGCAATAACTTTAAGGATGTAGTGCAGGTCAGTGAAAAAGGTGGTTGCATCAGCTACTGGGAAAAGTTTCTCCGTTGCTAGATGAAGGAAAACAATAAAAATCAGAGGGGAAAAAGGGCAAAGATGATACGCTATTATACCAAAAAAATGACAAAGGTACCAAGCATCTTACCCTCCTTATTAGCATAAACTTGCACAACTCCATCTTCCATCCGAAAAGAATGCTGTAGGAACACTCAACATATTAGTGACTCGAAAACCTGTACTTAATAACAATGTGCCAACACAACAAAGTAAAACAACAGGAACAGAAAATAAAATCCTCAAACTACTCACACATAAGAAAAATCAACCAAAAAAAGAAAAAATTCTAACGATTTTATCTTACATCAGATTTTCGTTCTTGCATATAATCAAATGGATTTGGAATGGGCTTTGGTGTGCTTGGATCAGTTATGATTTCCTTTTCCCATGGCACAACAGCTTCCCTAAATACACATGTCTTTCTCATTTCTAGGCACACTTGCAGATTCCGATAGACATCCACTTCATCAGGAGATGGTGTTTCTGAAAATCATTACAAAGAAATAAAATATAGGCTTTGGCATCCATGTACATTTACTACAAGCAAGGATAGATTCCATTGTTAATTCCAATAGTCTGAAAAGTACATAAAGTGCACGCTAACAGTCAGGGCGAGAATAGATACATGGACGACCAAAAATAGAACAGAACTATCGTCATGATGCTTTCATACATACAAAAATGAACAGAGCAGTCAATTTTGTACTAATATGGTGCTATAGTTTATTGACAAGCATCGGTATTATGATTATTGCTTCTGAACTTCTATCAAAACCGATGCTGAAGATTAAAGCTCAGCTGTTGGAAATGAAATGCTGCTACCCGACTGTTTGTTCTTCTTTTCCATTTGACCAAGAAGAATGAAAAAAGTATAGGTGGGTACATTAAATGTTAAATTAAACAAATTTCCACAAATCTCTTGGTTTCAGCCGTGATATTAGTCAATCAATAACACCTGAAGGAAAAATAAGGTAGTTTAACTGTAACATGACACTAAAGTTTTCATCAAAGCATAAATTATTAGCCTAATCATTAGCAAGTATGCTGCAGGAGAGAAACAACCAATGGGCTGACAAAAGCTATACCCTATATCATAAAAAGGAAAGAAGAGGATGTAATACCCCTTGGGGCAATTTTCAGCTTCACAAAGGTTTCCTGTTCTGGTTCTTTTCTGAGAATGTCCGCAGCCACAGGGTCTGGTTGCACACTGTGCAGATCACCAGATACGCTATGGGATCGAATCATACTTGATGCAGACATAGCCATTTGCTCTCCATTATTGGCATTCCTGTGATCTGGTAAATCCTGAAACATACTTTAACATTCAGGACCCAGCTCGTTATAGGGTCAATTTAGTGAATTCCTGGGGACTTTATGTAGCATCATAAATGAAAAGAAATTATACAACATTGGCAAGACTCAAGAAAGTAAATCCTTGACAGCACAAGGACATTGATTGAATCAAGAAAATACAAGGAATAAAAAAAAAACCAAATGGAATTGTGCACGCCCCAAATCTATCATTAAGTATTACCGCATTCCCATTGGCATGTAGATATGGATCGTTTAGTCCAGCACTGTCAGTCATATTATCTTCATCATCTGATCCTTCCACACTTTCAAAAGCACTGGCACTAGCAACAGGAGACTTGGGAGAAGTGGGTCTGATAAGATGCCCAGCTCTCTTGGCAGAACTTGCATGACTAGATTTCCCTGCAACAAAAAATAGCAGAGTTATTCAGCAAAAAGAGTAGAAGATAATTAGATTTTCAGCATCTAAAATGTTACTGGCGCAGGACTGAGTCGGATTTTATAGCATCAATAAAAAAATATTTAAAACATCATACATCCATTTTTGGTAATACAGAATTGTCGGCCAAAACTTTTCATCCATGACTACTGCTTGTATTATTGTCATGTAACAACACAATGAAATAACGCCTTTAACCAGCACTTCAAAGGGAAAACAAAAAGGATCATCCTCTCAAAAAGAAATTTCACATCAACATCTTGGGCATATACGTAGAAACAAGGCTAGAAAATTCTAGTAGAACAGCCAAAAGTTAAAACAATCCTAATATAGAACACATGATAAAGAAGACAAGTAAGGTGCATCGTGAAGCATATAGCTGGCAAAACACAGGGCAGACAGTATGAGAATCGCCCTTTCCACATCAAGGCCTTAAAGATCGATATTTACAAACCCCCAAGTTGCACACATAATAACCTGTTTACCCATATATTCTTCCACTGTCATCCCGTTGTCGGCCAGATGTCAATTAGGGTAAATTCCTAACATGCTTCAGCTAATTCCCTTTTCGTAATTAAGTTCATCAAAAGCACAAAATATATAAGAGCAAACATAGTATACAAATTTTATGACTTTGCAATTATAACTCAGCCTCCTAGTCAAATGTAATAACATAATTTGCACGAGAAGTAACCCCATTCTAGTGTTGACTACCCCAATCACAGGCATCAATCCTTAGCCTCTTGAAACTCTACTTAAATACAGCAACAATAACTTCCCTATCCCCTCTTCTTTATGAATTGCATACACCAGTACTTCTTTTAGCTAGCAGCAGTAGTATAAATCATTTTATACATGTAAGCAGAAACGGTTAGAGCAAAAAGATATGATAGGCCAAACCGCAATTGCCACAAAACCAACCTAGGTCGGAATGCTGCATAAAAGGTCAAGTCGTACAAAATTAAACTCCCATGGACTTTATTTGTGTGCATAAAAAGTCAGTGGAACAAAAATGATACCGACACTCATAGCCACAAAAGTAGAAGCCTGCCAGCCCGCCGCAAGCTCAGCACATGCAAGCAAACTAAAAAAGTCATTGGTAGAAGATCAAATTAACCTAATAAAGGAAGGGGAAAGTTGAACAAACAAAGGGGACAAGGCAGATGTTTTGTAGTAAATACAACAAATACATTGGACAGCAACGTTAAAGTTTCTCATTTATCATTGTAAAATTTGCAGACACAAAGGAAAAGGATACCGACAGAATTTATTTTCTCGGTGCTAGTATATAATTTGCATCATATCGTGTGGGCCCCCAGCGAATCCAGCAGTCCAATCACAGCTATGCCACCATTGCAACTTCTTCCAGCCAAATTCTGTTACCTTCTTCCACCAAGAAGAACATCTAAAAGTACCGCTCGACCCAGAGGATAAATCACAGGGAATGAGTTCCAAAGGACAAAAATACCAAAAAGAGTGACATTTTTCAAAATTTGGTTTCAATCAGGCCACTCTGATTTCATTTTATGACCATAAAATTGTGGCAGCACAAGGGAACTACATTTGCAAATCACAAGTGCTCAAGTGCACTATGTGTGGATAAAAGTTTATTGGGAGATGGTCTTAAAGTGTTATTGAAGCAAAGTCATCTTACAGTCAAATCCCTCCTCTTCAGAAGACACACATACCGCTTACAAATCCAATTACGCAGCAAAATCGTTGATTAATAAACAATTACTAATTCTCATGCTGCCAGGATTTGACTCGAAATAGTTCTGGTTCGAACCAAGAAATTACGGGTATACAGCATGCAAGTTCGACTGATTCCATACAGAATCACAGCAGGATATCGAACAGTCAATTACACGAGTGGCAAATTACTGAAAAATATGGAGCCAATTGTAGCACTAAAAACGACCCAGCCTAACTAATTATTTGAACCCTGCACCGCTGCAATAGTAGAATATACATACAACCATGTAGTACATCAATATGTAATGGTCGATAGAGGAGGTAAGGTTTTATTATTCCGGCGAGAAGCCCGACATTTGCATACCTTCAGGAAGCGTGTGGAGCCTGGGTAATCCAATCGGAATAGAATCAACATGAACCGGACCATTCCTCCTGTCGTCAAGGATATCCATCCCTCCGGAAATCGCAGTGACGTCCGGCAACGAAGCGGAACCTCGACGGTAGTAGCCGCTTCCCTTCCGTCGGCCGTGGTTGCGCCTCTTATCGACGGAGCCATACCTTTTGAAATGCTGAGGCGAGTCAGCACCACCGCTGCCGTATCCTACTCCACCGTCCTCCGCAACTGCGTCCCCCCTCTCTCTTTCTCTCTCTATAGTCTTGGCGAACTCCAGCAGATGGTTTAGGGTTTTGCGGTGCATGTAGTAAGCAGACACAGCCACCGCGGATGCTCCCACCAGCGCGGCCATAGCTAAGTGCAAGGCGTACGTGTCCATCACACAAACAAACAAACTCTTATGTAGTGCTTAGACTCAAGCTCAAACTTTGTCCGTATAGGTATGTACTGGTGAGCCGGAAATGAGAAAACCCTACTGAACAATGTAGATAGACTAAGTGTGCGTCTGTCTCTGAGAGAGAGAAGGAGAAGGAGAAGGAGGAGGAACTGTGTTTTATTCGGGAGAGGAGAGAAGAGGCGAGCCGGCTATTTATAGACGGGACACGGAAGCCAACATCATATTCTCTTAATGTGCGTTTTCTCTCGCACTTTCTCTTTCTTCTTTTTATTTGCCTTTTCTTTTTTCCTCGGGGGGGGGGGGGGGGGGGGGGGGGTTATTGAAGGTGCTTTTCTCGCCTTTTTGTTGGTGGCGGACTGCGGTGGCGGTGGTGGCGGTGGAGGAGGTGGAAGGATAGAGAAAATCTGGATTTGCTGCGAGTGCCGCGTTAGTATAATAGCCGCCGCTTTTTATTGGAGGTGATGAAAAGGGGCTTAAATTTATTTTCAAATTAGTACTACTAATATACTAATAAAATATTTTGCACTGATTAAATAAGGATTAATCTTTTTATACACTAATGCTAGTGCGAACACCTGTACTATATACATACAGTGGTGGCATTATTGAAAAAAAAATTAAAAGAGAGGGTGAATTAAAAAATCGTAATATAATTAAAATCTAAAATTTGTCTAGCAATAATTTGAAGTATGATAAGATGTATACATAATTTAAGACGACACGAGGAGAAGCGATAAGGATTATTGAATTAAAATAAATCTAAAATGGTAATAAAAAGGGTTTCAAATTTGTAATGCATGCGAAGGCTCCTCATAAAAAAACTGCTCTTTAGTACATATAGATATATAGATTATATTATCGAACGTTTTCTGTACGCTAGCTAGCAGCTTTCAATGTTTGACGCATTTGCATAATTTGAATTCGTGTTATTTGATATGATTTAAATCTACTCAGTAAAAACATCTTTATACTACTGATAGTATATGATGGAAAAAAAAAATGGTATCCATTAAACAGTTACTACTATCTATTGTGGACTGAGTACTTGGGTTCTGAAACTAAAATGATACCCACTCTCCACTCCAAACATTCTTGGACCTCTCGTCTTGTGCTCGCATTTTGGCTACTTAGCCATGCGTTAAAGGCACACTCCATGAAAGGTTGAGTTGCGGAGTGCCGCGCGGCGTTGCAACGAGTCGGCGTTCTTTTTCCCATGTTTTAGTCGTGTCCTGAAAACATCGGCGATTAGCGCATTACTCGGACAGATATTAGCGCATTACTCGGACAGAAAAAGACTCTTTGTGGCTTTACATCTTAAGCATATTCGGAACGTTGGAACGAAATGGGGAATTTTGGTGGAAAGATGTAATGCCATTACTGAAGATAATCCTTATTCCTCTTTCTTCTTTTTCTGGGGCCGGTTATTCTTTACACGCTTACATGGCATCAAATAATAGAAGAGATTCCACTTAAGCTGATTTTTATGTTCGACTAATGTTTCTTATCAGTGCAAATGATAGAAAGATGGCAAGTAAAAGCGGTAATCGCAAAAACATTTCGTAGGTTTGTTTAGATAGGAAATTATTTGTCAAAGATTATTCGATTTAAGCAAGTTTTCGCAACGCGTGCGATGATAAATTAAGCAGTCTTGCATTTTAATTACTTTCTTTCTCCTCAACCCAGTTTGTTTTGCATTTCGTCAAATTCCAAACAGGCTTATCTCATCGACAGGGCCTCTCTCTCTCCCACTTTCTTTGTTTTCAAAATATCTTCTCATCTCAATATTCTCAATTCAATTTTCTCATCCAATACCCTTAATTTAAATAAGACAAGTGTTAAGGACACATCTAATTATTAGGGAATAGTTAAAATGAACCAATTTTGTATAAAAATTTTGTTTGTTGCATCCAAAAAAAAAATAAATATAAATTATTCATGAAAAAACTTTGATTTATATGATTATAATAATTTGATAATTACAATATTTAGAGTGTTTATTAAGAATGTGACTCGAGTAGCATCATAATTGAACTCAGCTCGACATGCAAGAATAATACTCTTGAGTGGGCAGCATTATCAGGGTAATAAGTTAAGGAGAAAGATACCCCACTCTGCGGCCCAAGTTCGGGATGGATGCCGGGTACCTCTCAGCAGGGACGAGCTGGCTTTTTAACGTTTTGCTGCGAGCCACGGGCGCGCTTACGTTCCGAGGTCCATACACGTGGATTTCTTCCTGTCACGTTTTTTATTCCCCCGACCACTTTTCTCTTCATCTTTGTACCGACAAAAAAAAAGAAGAGGAATTAGCCTGCTAATACACACGGATGCCAGTGCCTACATACTAAGGTTCCGTTTGATAAAATTACTGAATTCTGCAGTCTGAATATTGAAATAATTAATTTGTTAAATTTTAATTACTAAAAAAATATATATAAATATCTGAATTTTAATGTTAAACCTACTTATACTGTTTGATAAATATTTATAGCTGAATGCTTAATAAGTTTAATTTGACAATTTCGCCCTTATATCCTTTCATTCAAAAAAGAAATAGAATCTATGATTTAATTAGTTTAAAATTATTAGGTACGAAAATGACAATATTTATTTTTAAATCAAATTAATATAAAATATGAAATATATTATATGAGGAGTATGGAGAAGATGTGAACGTCATTAAAAAGGGAGAAAAGAGAAACTAAACATCGTTAGATAGAGAATGTTATGTTGTTTAATTATATAAGAATTTTGAATATAATTAACAAACAAGGGTAGGTTTGGTAAATAAGATAAGGTAGCTGAAGTAATTCTGTTGATTCTTATCAGAATTAAGCATTCAGTTGGGATTCTTGTGCTGAAAAAAATACACGCATGTTCAGCACTGCTTAACAAACTCAGCAAATAGATTTTTATTTATCAAACACTCAAAACAACTGAATGTCTGAAAAAATTCAGATTCAGCACTTTTTTTATGTTATCAAACAGACCCTAAATTAAATGTTTAATTAGTGTAAAATTCCGGATTCAATACGACATGATACAACATAAATCGTCAATATTAATTGGCTTTTCTACCACAACTGCGAATAAAATGTATAATGCCAAACGCTGCTCCAATCAGCAGCCATCCCAATCAATCTTTTTTCACGATACAATTTGGGTTTAAAATTTAAATACTCTTGTAATCCGCCTGGAGACACAGCCCAGCCTGGCAAGTTAAATTACGAGAATATACCAATACGAGGAAATCAAGCATCGAGAGACTTTTGTTTATTTTTTTCAAAAAAAAAAAAAAGTTTTGTTGCCAAGTAGTCCTCTCATGACGTAGGCCTGCATGTCGATGCACAGGTAACTTGAATCATTTTAGCATATGTAGAGGACCGGGAATCGCACAAATTTCGGCATCAGAATCTGTCTATTCTCGCAAATGCACGGGAACCTTGACAGGAGGGGGGAACAGCCTACTTGATCCTCTGGGCCTTGGGGTGGGTTCCAGAATCGTATTCGCCTGAATCACCGCCGGAATGTTTCGTTCTGCAGCTTAAGCTTGCAGCCAAAAGGGAAGGAGTTTTACGAGCACTACAATTGGTCACCAAAGCTAGATCCATTAAGCAACCCAAAAAAAATCCTGCAATTGTGTAGAATTTGTTCCGCTAGTCACTGACAATCAAGGGCGGTGCCATTAGTACTTACTCGTTACACTCATGCAGCCTGAACCTGATAAATTCAGAGCATATTATATTCCAGGAGTTTATACTTACCGGTCAAAATCCATTTTATATAGTAGTACTTGACAAAAAGTCCAGGATTTAGGAATATCCAACTTATGATTATCGTCTTCATAGTCCAGTGTCAGATCCGTATGTAGAAAACAGGATTAGGGAGAATTTAAAAAATATAGAGGAAAAGCCAGTAATGCCTAGTATTCTGCCATTATTTTCTCTTCTTTGGCAATTAATTAATTTTTTTTTAAAGAAAAGACCGAATAAATGAGGTCGACTTCGTTGACTTGAAGAGTGTTAATTGGTTCAGACTGAATCAAACAGGCCTGCAATTTATATGGTCAGTGACATGTTCATTTTCTTGTAACCATTTAATAAATGTGTTTGGATAGTAGATTATTTAGGATAATTTCTAAAACCACCAATGGTTTTCGAACCGGAATGGTAGCATTGCGTTGAGCCGAAACCGATATGGGCTTCTCAAAGGATTTGCATTAAAATTCTGGGATCCTCTTTGTGGTATTGGGCTTAACCCAAAATCAATATCAGCCTTAATCAGAGGGCACAGGCACAGCCACTTTCCTTTTAGTCATACTATCAAATGCATTTTTTTTTTTAAATGATGGTGTCATGATTAATGTACGTAAAATACACACACACACACACACACATATATATATATATATATATATATATATATATATATGTATGTATATCCTTTTGAGTATGCATGGTACAGACCATTGAACCTATAATAAAATATAAGCCGTTATAAAGTGTTTAAATACTTTTAAATATATCGTTAGAAGACATAATTTAATAAGTACTTATTAAATTGAATAATATGTATTTAAAAAATTTTAGATATACTTATATCTTTATTTAGTTCATGATATGAGATAAAATGATTAAATTTAATATTTTATTTTTTTAAATTCCAAAAATTATTTTAAAAGCACAAAATTTGAACTTTTACTAAAAAGTGCTTTAAACACAAAAAAAAAAAATTTTACTCCTAATCTTATGAGACATCTTAAAAGTACTTTTGATGCCTAAAATGATATATATTTTTTTTCCGAAAGCACAATAAAGGGGCTTTAGTCAGTACGCCGCTCACCAACAGACAAATGACGGAGTACCAAAACTTTCAAACGAATCCTCCAACCCAACCCAACCCAACCCAAGCCCATAAAATTAAACCAGTCCTCCCCATATTCGCGAGTGCAGCGTCCGAGAAAGAGAAGGGAGGAGTCCGAATTATACTACAGGATTCACAGCGTACGAGTTGTAGGCGTCACGGAGTTGGTACTCTGTAGTACTTTTGTAGCAGTGGCAGCACTTTCCTCGGTGCCTTTGTAAAGCTTCTTCGTTCTATCATTTGCCCATGGCGTCTGCTCTCAACGGCGTACTTTCAATAAGATTATCCGATGCCAGCTGGTCCATTTCCAACCCACTTCGAACTTCTCAACTCGCTTCACCCATTTCCGTCTCTTTCACTCGTAATCTCTTCTCAACTCTCTCTCTCTCTCTCTCTCTCTATCCATTTCATCTTGCTTCACTCTAATGAATGTT